GGGGCCACCCGTGACCTCCCGCCCGCCCGCAGGTGACCCTGGTCCCCACCTTCGAGTCGGTGGCCATGCGCAAGTGGTTCGAGGAGACGAGTGCACAGCAGCAGGCCCTGGGCGTCCGCGTGCTGGGCAGCAGCAGCATGGTGTTCACGGAGGACGAAGCCTTCCCAGCCTGCAAGCTGGTCTTCTAGCCTTGCGTGCGCCGGGAAGTAGCTGCACCGCCCGCTCTCCCTGCTCGCCGTGGCCTGCGTTCCGCCACTCGTGGGCCTCGGCCCACAGTGAGCCCCAGTTTGGCCGGCGCCACCCAGCCCCGCTGGCCCGACAGGGAGCTTGTGACTCACGCACGTCTGGGAAAGTCCCACCAGCGCCAGTTACTTGTTCCTGTTTTTACTGTGTTTTGCAGTCCTGGCAGTCGGCCCAGGGACACTCTTACTATTTTATTTTTTTAAGAGGACAGAGGCACTATTTTATTCAACCCTTGTCCTACCGTTTTATTTTGAGAAAGTTTTTCAGAGTTGCCCAGGCTGGTCTCATGGTCACTTGTCCTGCCTCAGGCTCCCGAGTAGCTGGGCGTGTAGGCGTGAGCCACCACAACCAGCAGCACAAGTGTTTTGATGTTCGATAACTCGTCACGAATCCTGGGCTGAGTGGCGACCCTGAAGAGCCATCTGTTCAAATCCCGACCTCGGGGTTGTTGCATGAATTTGCCAGGGACCAGGGGAGAGATGGGGGCCGACAGTGCAAACAGCCAGGAGGTGGCTGGGCGAGTGGGCGAGTCGTGGGGTGCACGCGGACGCCGCCCAGGCCGTGGCAGGGGCCGGTGAGCGCTGTCCAGGTGCTGAACCTGCTCGCTGATGCAGCCCTTACGGGGGTGATGGTTCCCGACAGGTGTGCAAACTGAGGCGCAAAGAGCCTGGTGGTTTGCGAGGTCACAGGCGAGCTGATGACCCCTGCGGGACTCTGCCCACCTGGGGACGTGGGTGACCTGTCCCTGGCCTGCCACGCAGTGCCTGAGAGCCAGGGTTCAAGAGGCAGGGCCAGGCCTACCGTCCGCGTCCCCTGTTGGTTGGGTGGGGTCCCCAGGGGCCGAGGCAGGGCCCCCTGCAAGGTGTGAGCTCTGGCTGGGCCAGCGAGGGTCCCTGGGTGCCGCCTAGAACGTTGGACAGCACTGAGCAGGGCATGGGGCAGCGCTGGCGGGAGCCCCTCTGACAGGCAGCCTCGAGGTTGGGGGCACGGGACGACCACCATTGCCCCGCTGCCAGGAGAAGGGTGGGCTGGGGTGCTTCTGGCTGCCCTGGGCCCGTGCAGTGGCCAGGTATGGCTGGGGCCGGGGCTGGGGCCGAGGTGACCCCACCTGCTGCCTTTGCTTATCCAGCGGCCGCGTCACTAAGGTCACCGGGGTGCGGGGGACGCCTGGCTGTACCGGACGGGCGGAGGCGGCGCTCAGGCTTTCCCTGCACGGATAGAGGTCCTTCCCGCCGAGGCTACCGGAAGGCTCCAATCCCCTCCTCCCTCCTGCGGCCTCCGCTCCACAGACCCCGGCTCTGTGGACGCTGTTCCTCGTCTGTGGCTGTCCACGTGGGTGCAGTGTCCACAGCCGAGAGCTGAGCCCTCAGCCCCTGTGCACCACCAACACGGCCCCCAGGATGGGGCCAGAGTCCCGAGTGAGGCCTGAGGCCTGGGCCCTGCCCACGCTGTCCTGC